GGTGCACGAAACGACACAATCCTTTTTATCACGGACTTTGATGGTGTTTTGGGACACTCCACTTGTATTGACAGAGAGTATCTGACCTGGTAAAATATGGAACTTGATTTCTTCGAATTCCTTGCCATTTTTAACATCATCAAGTATGTTACTTGTACTATAGTGAACAAGCCATAATAGCACAGTTATTGGATTTAGTAGGAACAGTTTCATCTTATAAGTAGACTATAAGTAGACTACAACTGTTGAAGCTACCACAGGAATGATTATTAAAGCTTGGCTAATGATAAACACATTCTATTTAAATACCCTTAAACACCCCACCAATTAATAATTGATAATTTAGGCGTCAGTAGGATGGCTAACTTTTCGCATTTTWAATTAGAGTGGTTTTCAAAAACCCGTGAAACAAAGTGTAATAACTAGGGCGTAATAAATTGTAATACACCGAAAACACAATAAAGAAAATCAAAAGAAAAAGTTGACAATAAAGTGTATTAAAGTGTAATACGCTAAAGTGTATTTCACGGGTTTTTAAAAACCACTCTAAGAATTCCTAATATGTAATTTAAAAAATATTGAAATTAATTGCCCTATTTCACTATGACGTCACTGCTTGTTTATGTGGGGGATAGAATCGCCAAATCCAATAGAAAATTCAACAACATTTGCTCCTATTGAAACAGTTTAATCTAAAATGGCCTGGTTTTCAGATATAATATGTGTTAATATGTACTAAAAAATATTCTGAGCATTTGCTGGCTATTCTACTTCTCTTCGTGGATTGATACGGGTTTTAGAACAATTTTCGGTGAATTTGCGTTGCTTTGATCCCCACCGACGACCATGATCCCTTGCGTTGAAATAATAGATTGTTTTGATGTGACGTCATAGTGAAATAGGGCAATTGTCTCATTATTTTTCTAACGAAAAATGGTGATACAAAGCGAAACAAAACAAAACCGGCTAAATCGGCGGCAGATGCCCTTGAAATGACGTCTTGTTTTTCTCGAGTTTTTATCAAATCTCGAATGATGGACGATGTTTACCGTGACACTCAATAGAAAATTCCAGACTCTAGACTCACTTACGCTGTTATTGATCTCCCGCTGTGGCTGGTGGGTTGGATTTAGTGAGTTCGCGAAGTATCGAGAGAATTCGAAGGATATTTTTGAATTTTTTTTTGGACGATTTTGTGCGAGCGTCTAGGTCTTCTTATTCAAACACGGTAGCCAGCCAATCAGTGCGCTCGTTATATTTTAAATATTTTAAAACCAGTTGATCTAAGAAAATTTTTTACCCAAGAAACTTTTGATCCAAAAATTTAAATGATYCCTCATTGGTACTAATTTTTGCGGGACTTAATTTTAGAGATTCAGTCAAAAAGATAAAAAGGATAAATTATCTCACAATGCGACATTYATTTTCCTGCTTTTAAACCGTTTCTTAACTTTGTCGTGCCTTTACATATAAYTATAACGAGACGGTGCAATTTAAATATAAATGCTTAATGCATTTTAGGCATAGATATATCGTACCCAAAACTAAACAAAGCACCGCTAACGTTAACGCGGCAATCGAGAAACATCCATATTGTGCTGCCAGTTAAGCCTGGTTCACACGAGCCTGTACTTCAAACAAGTTAAAAAGTAAGACAGCAAACAAATAAATAAACAAGCAAACGACTAAGCAAAGCGTATTAAGTAAATACTGAAAACAAACACAAGAAAAGCAAGGATCCGGAAACAATATACGTAATTTAACAAAACCAAAAGCAAAATACTAAACATGATAAAGGCTTTAACAACAGTAGGCCGATAACTTACTTCAGTGTGAACACAACCATTCTCTATTGACGATTATTATAAACTAATCTAAACTACTTATCTAATTGGCTGTCCCATACTTGCATTGAGCAGTTTTATCTACATCTTTCCTAGTCACCGGATTTCTCTAGTCTCTCCTTGTGGAGGAATGGGTGAAATTAGTATCGGTATTTGGTAGGGTTTGTTTTAAAAGAGCTTAAAGTGCCTATTACCCTTCTGACAATATTCACAGTATTAATTCTACATGGGGTAAGATGTTGAATAACACTAAAATAATATATAGTTTAAGTGCAACTTCTTGAAGTTTTAAAGGTTTTTCCATGCCATATGCTAATGCTGTGACGTATGAGGAGTAATCATTTAATATACAAAACATTACAGGCACAGATAAATCAAATTTAAAATCAGTCATTGTTTTCCTCATTGCTCTTATAGAAATGATTGCAAGTCAGTTTTCACATAGAAGCCGGTATTTTGAATTACAAGAAACAACAAATAACCATAAATGCCTCCTCATACGTCACAGCACAGGGCCGTAACCAGAACTTTTACAGGGAGGGTGCACATCGAATAAAATCGAAAAAAGGGGAAAAAAGGTAACCAAAAGGAAGCAGAACCAAAAAAAGGAGATTGATGAGTGGACCTTAAGCTTTTATGGGGGGATGCACGTGCACCCAGTGCTCCCCCTGGTTACGGCCCTGCAGCATCAGCATATGACCGCACTCAAATTATGAAATTTTTTCGGGTTATTCAACATCTTACCTCATATAAAATCAATACTGAGAATATTGTCAGATGGGTGATAGGCACTTGAAATCTCCAGAAACAGGGTAAGCAGGAGCAGGAGATGACAAAKTAAGTTAAATAATAAATAGTACTCTGTCGGCAGTTTCTGGGAATCAAAAAATGAGCCTTTGAAAGTCGATCTTGGAAGCACAACACCATTCCAACTGACTTGTGTTCTTGAGTATCTTTCGCAGAACTCTGCCAATTTTAAAAAGAAAAACGTCCTGAGAATTATCAGCTTCAACATCATCATCAACTTCATCACTACCTTGTCACAACCATTATCATCAGAAATATATTCAGCATCACTGCCTTATTATCATCATTATTGTCAGAATAAACAGTATCATATCTACCTCGGCAGGACCCTATTGTAAAACACATTATGTGAAGTAGGCTTCCTGAATAAAGATTGATTATTATTACCTTAACACCACCGTCATCATCAGAATTATTAGCATCATCTCCACCTTGTCATCACCTTTATCATCATCATCATCATCTCCACTTTATCACCATCATCATCATCTCCACTTTATCACCATCATCATCATCTCCACTTTATCACCATCATCATCATCAGAATTATCATTATCGCCAACGTCATGCTCATTATTACTAGCATCACTAATTTATCATCATCAGCATCAGCATCAGCATCAGCATCAGCATCACTATCACCATCACCATCACCATCACCATCACCATCAGCAGCAATAGCAGGATATATTTACCAGTTTAGGAGGCATGCAACTCCATTTGCATAAATGCAAAAATACTTGACCCAGAATCCATCAACACCAATGTAAGCACAGCTTTCGGAATCATATGGTTGCTGTGCACTCCAGTTAGTGTAGTTAACTGGCGTCCCATCTATCCACACGAAGTTGCCATCTTGATTGGGTGCATGAAGTCCCAGCCACAAGTAATAATTGGAAATGCCGGTTATCTCCCTTAGAATCTCGTTCTGCTCCGCGGAATGAATCGATGGGAGATCCACTCCGAGCCCTTGGCATACTGCTCTACCATCTTGCATGTTATAAATTTTGATTTCATAGCGATATTCTACAATAAGAGAAAACACCATTGGCTATAAAATCGGTGGGAAGATATCACAAAGAAAGAAAGCAAAAGGAAAGGAAATAAAAGAAGAAAAGGAAGAAATCCAGGTAGGATCGGAAGGTAACGGAGGAAAGTAGGGAGGGAGGGAGGGAGGAATGAATGCATGCAAAAAGGCAGTGACGGAAGGAAGAAGGGAGGGAGGGAGGGAGGGACGGAGGAAGGAAGGAAAGAAGGAAGCAAGGAAGCAAGGAAGCAAGGAAGCAAGGAAGGATGAGATAGATAGATGGATGGATAGAATGAAGGATAGAAGAGTGAAAGGTATTAAAAATTGGAAGGAGGAAAAGAAGGAAAATTGAAAGAAATGAAGAATGGAAGGATTGAAGGACTAAATGTAAGAACGCAGAATCAAAGGAAGGTAGGAAGGACGAGGAGAAGGAAGGTAATGCAATATATTTTCATACTTGTTTGGCAGTTTTTCCCCAAGTATCCGCTTGTTCCATTTTTAGTACAATTACAMTGATACAGGTTCATGTCCAGATCAYTTATGCATGTAGCATTGTTCTGACAAGGGTTGGACTTGCAGTAATCAATCTCTGGAACAAAATCAAAATCAAACATTTACATGATATACTCTTCAGTAAATTTTCTACCGTGCTTTCTTAGCTTGAAAACCAACATCTGCACAATACACATCGTTTATTTACCGAAAGGAGATGCGGATAGGGAAACACTGTGCCAAGGACTCGAATAAACGKTCTAAGGTCGTTAGATCGACTTTAAGACGGTAAATAACATTTCTCTTCCCCCATTTTATTTTTCGACTTGTTTAGSAATTGCATCCGTTATCCCATGCGCGCGAGTGGACCGCGGACAGATCGACTGACAAAATACGCGGGCCCGCTACAGACAGCCAATCAAGATTTTTAGGATACTGGACGTCGGAAAAAAAGATAAATTATGGTCGATGATACTCACCAATTTTGCACTTTTCTCCTGTAAAGCCTCTCTTGCACAAACAGGTGTAGTTTTGTGTGTTACCCTGAACTGTACAGACAGTGAAGTTTGGGCAAGGCCCTTCTTCACAAGGGTTCTAGAAAGAAAGCGGGGGAAAAATGCGTTAAAACATGCAGTAGATCGGCCCTAAACTCCATTGACTGGATATTGATGGTTTTCAACCATTCYCAAGAGAATTAAATAACAAAAGAGACGGCGGCCATGTTGGAGGATATAAAAAAAGAACTTATTGACATTTCTTTTGTTAAGTTCCTCCAACATGTACATGGCCGCCATGACAACCATCAATAGTCGCGTCGTCACGTAACGCTTAGCTTGTCTTCCCAAAAAGACAAACGTTGCGTGATTACGTGACAGGCTGGTTGGCTTTAGTCCATCTGAACAATAATCCTAAATTACAAGCAAGAGATGTAATTAATAGAACGCTCCAGAAAAMAAAAATTACYAAAACTAATTCCAACTTGTGAAAGCTACAATGATGCGTGCGACCCATTAACTCCCGCTCAATCAACCAACACAAAATTAAATGTGGAAGAAAAGAAATGGAAGAGAAAGCTTGCTAAAAAAGGAAAAGCGTTTTTTTATCGGCAAACATTTCGAAAAGCATAATGTTACGGGGACACCATTATCAAACTTGCAGGAAAGGACGCAAAGCGTTTTCTTTTTCGGAAAAAAAAGCAAGCGTATGTYACCACCTAAAAATAAAAAGTTTGAAWAAACACGCGATTGCACCCAACGACCATTACCGGGACTTTGCTAAKACCCTGATATCCTTACGAAAACCTATCCAATAGTTGGATCATGCATCTTTTTTTCTTAATACAAAATTTCAAAATTGAATTGAGAATGAAAACCGAAAACAATTTACCTTGATGCTGTAATGGATAAAATTCCCGTCTTGCTTGAGGTCTTCCTTGTTGGCGTACTTATCAACGGATATCCGTTCACACTCGTGAAGGCCATCGCTCTCAGGTATGATCTTAACATTGACTGATCGACACCAAGGCACATCGGTGCACGAAACGACACAATCTTTTTTATCACGGACTTTGATGGTGTTTTGGGACACTCCACCTGTATTGACAGAGAGTATCTGACCTGGTAAAACATCGAACTTGATTTCTTCGAATTTCTTGCCAGCATCATGTATGGGTATGGTACTTGTACAATAGTGTACGAAACATACCAGAAAAGTTACTGGACCTAGTAGGACGGAATATTTCATGGCAAGTAGGTCAGAAGCACTAATTTATAAGCAGATCCCAGAGTAAGTCTGGCTTAGGTCTGGCGGTCTGAGAGATGCGGAGAGATTAATAATCCAGGATTGCAATAAGTGAGTTTTTAGTATGATTTTAGACTTGAGTTTCTCGAGCTGTGATTGGTCGAGCGACCGGTGTTTTTCTTAGACGATAATCATCGCTGGAGAGGTGATTATGAGGTTTTCCAAAGTTTATTGAGTCTACAAACAAACAATCTTATGTTTCAACGGTCAAAACTCAGACTAATTTTTACGTTCAAAATTGCAGTATTTTCCCATTGTATTTTCTTTGCATTTGAGACAATACTTTAAGAATAATTTTAGTCGGACCAAGAGAGTAAAATCCTGCTTTCATTGAATATCTGCTCTCTCTCCAAATCATTTAGTACATAAACGATATRCTTAAAATTGTATGGAGGAACTTCCTTTCCAGTTTTTTTAGATTGAAATATAGAAAAGACGTATTGTCACGCCTCTTGTGGTTGGCTTCCGGTTTTCACAGTAAACACTAATTCATCATCCTTAATTATCCATGCGAAAAAAAAAATTAATTCTAGATTATCAGCAAAAAGTTTGTCGCATTGGAATGGAATTTTAGTTTCATTACATTTTAATATCGCCTAGATTTTTTTCCTCGTGTAAAGTTTGCATTTTAAAAAAAATACTTGCTATTATTATTATTACTGCATTTTAAGAGTATTTATATTTATGTAGATTCTAATAACTGGGTGATATTAATTTTAGGTTCGGGTAATTTTTATCGTTCAATTTCGATATTGCAACAAATTTTTTTATTTCAAAACTCGTGCCATTCCCTTGAGTATGTTTCCTTTGCTTGTGATCTAGATCGAATATGTCTTCGTGAGTGCACACGGAATGATAAAAAAAGAAAAAACAAACAAACAAACAAAAAACAAGACACTAAACCGGGAAGACATTGAGATTGAAAACTATGATTTCCTTTGTCTCSAAGGTGTCCGTGAGTCATCCAAAATTACCATTTAATGTGATTCGACTAAATACTACTCACTAGGGGGTAGAACGACGAMGAACAGTTCGATAAAGTTAAGTGAAAACTAAAACGTACCATACAAAAGGAAACAGCTGTGACGTTAAACTCAACAAAGCCTTCAATAGACTTAATGACAAGARGGGTGGATTCAGAAGATTTAGTTGGCAGTTCTCGGATGCTGAGTATCTACCCTGCTAGCAATACCACTGTTTTATCCTTTTCGTTTAGAAAGAGAGGAAATTACCTAAATAAAATATAGCTATTCATTTAGAAAAGAAACGGTTGTGCTGTTAGGTTGCGTTCATAATGTGTGGCAGAGGGGGGGCAGGTGAAAATTTGAAATATCCAGAATAATTCTTAACACCCCCCTTAAAGTCATATGCAAAAAAAATATGATCCCCCCATTTTTCTGATAACATTTTGCCCATCCCCTCTTTTTCCTACCAAAATTTTCCCGGTCTCCCCTCAATTTCACGTGCCCCCCTCCCTCTGCCATACATTATGAACGCAGCCTTAGTTTGGACTTATAATTCGAAAACTTTTTTTTCTACCTTGTTCTACCCTGATGGCAATCTTAGATAAAGTTCTTCATCAAGGATGCTCGTGATTTTCACAAAGTTAATGTCTAATGGYGGGCTTAACTGCAATCGTGCAGTTTGCGCATGTGAAATCAAATAAGTATTTCTTGTTCAAACTGGTTTAAAAACAGGTTTCATTTGTTCAAAATTAAGGGCAAGGAAGGGTGCAAGGGCTGTTGGGTCTTCTAGATTTAGGATACTGACCCCTACTTATAGAAATWAACTAAGTATGCCGTATATGATAATGCATTAGAATTTAAAATTTTAACTTTATCAAATAACTTTCATGTCACATTACCGAAACACTTGTGCAGTGAATTGCCTTGTATTGATCCCTGCTTGTCAGGACATCTCAGTCAGGTCTATCAAATCAAAACATTTACAATAAAAATCAGTAATTTTGGTTAAAGAAGCATTTATTTGACAATGTCCATAAAAACCATGCAACAAAGAAGTTTWACACTTACGGATATTTAAACCGGATTTACTTGAAGACCCTGCGTGACTCTCCAGCGTGGGGTCAAACCAACAATTTCTCGCGGAACAAGGCTTGTAGCATCAAACCAGTAGGACTGACCAGTGGGCGCGAATAAGGTTATCATCATTCGACTCAAATGTAGYCCGAATTCTGATTGGTTGCCTGAAATAGAAATAACTGCGTACAAATAAGTTTGAGCATGCGCAGTAAATACAATCCGTATTCACTCAACCCACTCCCCGCGCGACCAAGTTTGGAAAAACCTCGACTCGAATAAGTTAGGAGAGAAAATAGGGACTGTTTATAGTCTAGCTCGCCTAATTGTGATGTAATTGTAATGTTGAGCAAAATAACATCGTGATTTGTTAGTAGCGAGCAAACAATGATTTACCGATGCCGAAACATACCAAGTCATGGGGAAGCCAGCAATCAGTGTGTAGACAAATGCAACGTTACTGCGCATGAGCAGAATATCATTTATATAACTAAACTGGGCGACGACACGGAATCGTTTTAKAGGTCATTACGTCGGTACCAACGATCATCACGGTTCAAATATTATGGYTTATTTTTATTATTCAATTTTAATATAATAAAATTATATAAATATCAAGTATTTATATGTTTAGTAAAATATAGCATATTTTTTTATAGTGGCTATGCTAGCCTACACTGGAATCGAAAAGTGTTGTTCAGAAAATAGTTTTAGATATAATACATATTATTAAAATACAATTACAAATACAATGTAATTTGCCGTTTCGACGTCGAGGGAAAAAACTGGGTTAAGCTGACAATTCCATGCATTGTGGTAATGCTTTTGGGGACATATTTCCAAGATGGCGTCTATTTTGTCTATTTGAAACAGTCCCACAATGCACTACAATGACAACTAGACCCAGTTTTTTCCTTAACCCTCGAATGGCTGAAATTTGATTTTTCTTCTTAGTTTTGAAAAAAATAAAATATAATAATATCAATAAAATAAACAGATAAAACTAAAAGCAATAAACTCTACTTACTACATTTATCACCATGGCTAATCTGAGTGGCCAAAATCTTATTTTTACTTTCTAGACACCTTTCCAGAGTTCGCTCGAGTCGACAGGTTGGTACTCACGTTTTCATTCATTTGTTACATTTTATCATTTCCAACCTCGACCTGGAAACATTGCTTTATATTCACTCGAGAAAATTCGGGAAAGGTKAATTTATTTTTATTATTCTAACTATATTTTTAAATTACCCACCCCACTAACCCTCTGACATCATTTTACAACAGTTACACTGTTAAGCACATTCATTTTTGAAAATCTTGGATCCGTCCTTGCATGAACATACTATTACTGATTTAAAATTTCGAGTAATTTTATTTGGCCGTGAACCAAAATCATATATATAATCTATAGTGACTAACAACAGTCGCGAGTGTAAAGGAGCGATTACACGGAGCAAATTTCTCTTCAACTTCCCTCGAAACGGCGTTGCGAAACAATTTGCATGAGGCATTGCAGCGTGTAGCCGATTGCGTCTCTGTTGCACCGTGTAACACTATTGCAGCTTGGCTTGTTGCGAGACAAGTTGCAGAGAAAATTGCTCCGTGTAATCCCGCATGGAGGGGAATTACTGTCTACTCATCTATTTTGCTTATTATCTTTTCACAACAATCACTGCGCGATAGCTACGCCAGTCCCCCCCTCCCCCTCCCCGCATTTTCCTGTCGTATAGGTAGTTTGTTCTTCACTGTTTTTCTATACCCACACAACCTTAAAGCAT